CCTGGAGCGCATTGCCAACAACGAAAATTTCTTTCATTTCTACAACATGCACCACAACGCCATCTGTACTTTACAACTCCATTAATCTGTTCGTCAAGTTTGTTGATGGTTTCATGAGCAATATTATCGTCAAGATCAACATCAGCGTATGATTGAGTCTTTGTCGATTCTGACTTTAAATCGACGATTTGAGGGACAATATTGACGTTATTGTTGTCAAGAGAATTTAACGAACTTGAAGTAATAACATGAATAAGAGCAAATAAAATAATAAATAATTTCATCATTTTTTTTTTTTTTACATAAGTTGGATTGAGAAAATTCATGGCTCTTTTATGTTTCATAAACAAAATAAACCGTACCTATCATACTTAATTCGTAGATTAACTATGCTTGCCTATTAAACTCATTGATTAAGCTAAAATTACGGTGTGTTGTTTAGATATAATTTAGTATCTATCGATTAACTTTAATACTAGGAAACTGAAATTAATCAAAATATAAATTTTTCGTTTTATGTGTATGTGTTCTATGTTAATAATGAGCTTTATTAATCAGTGATCAGCTAAACTGTCAAAATTTTGACTTAGCCAAAAAAATTTGAATTGATCCGGTAGAATAATATATCAATACAAGCGAAGTTTGTCAATTTCTGTTATTTTTATTTTAATAATCTATCAAACTAGCACATAAACATGTGTGGCTGCGCCGTAAACGCACAATGTATACACGCTAATGCCGCACAAACTGCAAATCTTTAAAATCCCACGTAAATCCAAATCACATGAGGAAAAATCCTATATCCCAAACAGGACGAACAATATTTGGCTGTCATAATCCTAAACTCCAGTCAAATCCCAAACCTCATCCCAAATCTCAATTCCAAACCCAAATCCCAGATCCAAATCTCATCCCATGTCCCAAATCCCAATCTAAAATCTCAATCCAAATTTTATACTAGGATGTATCTTGTGCAAGATAAAACTAGTTATAGTTATATAATATCGTGC